GGGGAAAAGGATTTTCCGTCGTCCAAAACGGATCCGAGAACTTGTACCGGAAATAATTTTGAAAAAATACCAAAAAATAATCCAATTTTTTCCTGGACGTCGCGGATCTCAAATACTGTCCGCAAGTTTTGAGGAGAAAGCATACCAAATTCAATCGCCCCCCCCCCCCGAGTTTGAAATTTTTGTAGTGACCGATTTATATAAATTTAATTAAAACTCGGTTTAATGTTTTTTTTTTTTTTTTTTACGTAACGTAACACGCCATCATCGATTTGACCAGCCAAAAAAAAAAAAAAAAAAAAAAAAAATTACATCACTTTATAAACGACGAAATTTGAAAAAGTGTCAAGTTTAAACGTGTGTGTGTGTGTGTCAGAGAGAGACGGGGAGAGGGAGGGAGAAAAGAGAGAGAAAAAAAGTAATCGCTTATTATACGGTAAAACGTAAATACCAACAATAACAATAATGATAATAATAATAATAATAACGTAACTAATCAGAGTCGAAATAATTTCGTTTGTTTGTTTGTTTGTTTGTTTGTTTACTCTATCGAGTACATCGCCGACCTTAATTCAATGGAATAAACACAAATATTTAGGTCAGAATGTGAAAGCAGGTTGATGTAAATGTTTTTCTAACAGGTTATTTATTCCAAGGCATGAACCTATCGAGGAGACCATTATCGTGTATATTTAAACCAAAGGTAGGAAGAAGTACTTTCGCCTGAGGAAACGTCTGCATCGCACGTTCTCTCTCTCTCTCCTCATACGCCTCCAGTTCTCTCTCTCTCTCTCTCTCTCATACACCTCCGAAAACGACATGGCACTTTTGTTTAATTATTATTATTATTATTATTTCTTACCTCGTAAAATATCCACGTGCTGAATATTGACTGAATTAAATTATATACAATTAAAATTTTTCTTAAGTCAAACGGTTTCCTGTTCTCCATTATTTTTGGTCCGATAACTTTGGAGAAATAAGCGTAGAATAAGCAAATGGCGAGGGTGGGAAACGGTGACGACATCATGGGCCAATCTTTTACCCTGGGATCTGTAAAAAAAAAAAAAAAATAAAGAATTTCATTTTTAAATATATATATATATATACACGCATCGAAAACAAAACAAAAGAAAACCCGCGAAATAAACTAACGGTTTTCTAATGAGCGTGAAACAAACGAGAAATTCGGACACTGTGACGACCGTGTTTATTTTTAATTATTATTATTATTATTTTTTTCCTTTGATTTCCTTTTCGCGTACGAAAAAAAAAAAAAAAAAGCAGAAGAAATTCGCTTGTTTTCCTACATCACACACGGTGGCATGAATTGTGCCTTGTTGGTGCAGCGACATGTTAACCACATTACGGTTTCTTTATTTCTTTTTTCATCATAATCATAATCATCATTATTATAATTCGGCACGCGTAAGAATATCTTATCAATGACAAAGGACTCTATTGCACCTGACCCATTTGCACCTTGGCACAATGTCTCAAAAAAAAAAAACCGATCGCAATCTTTTTACAATGTGCCACCACACACGCACACAAGGACGATTCCGCAACAACAACAAAACTATTCCATTTAAATTAAATAATAATAATAATAATAATAAATTAAAACGGTTTCTCATTCTATTACATTAATAATTCGTCAGTCAGTCAGTCGACTACGAAAATAAATAATAATAATAATAATGCCATATTTTCTTACCGCTCACGTTATCCATCGTATCCCTATACCCTTCAACAATACTGTCAATAAGTCTCCACATTTTTAAAACCTGATTTTTTTTCTTTTTTTTTTTTTAACTCTGTCTCTCTTCTTCTTCTTCTTCTTCTTCTTCCTCCTCGGTTGCAGTCAGCTATCTCTATCTGCCAGTTTCACTTTTCTTTTTTTTTGTGGTTGTTTTGCTTCTTCTTCCTTTTAAAGGAAAACTATTCCGTCGATCCTTTTTCGAACGACGACTGTCAGCTTTTAAATAAGAATATATAGCTGACGGCCTGCGAAAAAAAAAAAAAAAAAGAAAAGAAAAATTAATATTTATAAAAGGTAAGGTTGAAACTGATTAACAAATTTTGATAAAAAGTGTCAAATGTCAAATGAAAAAAGGTGATAACCTTTTCATAGCCTTTCTTAATTATTATCATTATTACTAAACATTATTCTTCAAGGTATGATAATTGCATTGCGTTAAATAAAATCTACATTTAAATTAATTAAAGTTTATCGTAAAAAAAAAAAAAAATCATGTCGTTGTCCCCCCCCCCTGTTGCCAGTTTTTTTTTTGCGACACGTTTAAGAAAAGGTCATCGTTATACGTTTACCTTTTCGATACGATCGAAAAAAAAAAGTAATAATAATAATAATAATTAACGGGCAAACTTTATAACGAAAAAAATTGACATTCAAAGTCATTAAAAATACATTGTCATCGTGTGTGTGTGTGTGAAAAGGGTCACACAGCTGATTTTTATTTATTTTTTTTTTTTGTGGTGAATCGAACTTGTAAGAAAATCTTATAAAAAAAAAAAAATAATAATAATAATTAAGAAGAGTTAAAGAAAAAAAAACAATTCAATTGAGATATTTAAAAAAAAAAAAAAAAACCAGTTGGAAAATTGTGTACCCGTTTCATTCTTTTTGTTATTGTCACGATAACTTTTTAAACTTTGTCGAGTAGTAGTACACTACTCGATAAACTTTGTCTAATTGAGTGAACGTTTTTTTTAAATTTGTAAATTACGTTAATTTAACGACGAAGCTTTTTAATTATTATACCGATCGATCGTTACACGATTCGCGATAACAATAACGACAATCATTCGACATGAAACAAACGATTACATAAAAGTACCTCTCTCTCTCTCTCTCTCTCTCTCTCTCTTTCGCTAGTACCTCCTTCTCTTTCCCTACAGGTAAATTAAAACATTTCAACCAAAAAAAAAAAACCTGAAAGTTTTAATTATGTAACGAAACAACGACAACAACAACAACAACAATTTATATACGTTTTTAATACATTAATTACCGTAACGTTAAACCATAAACGATAATAAGAAAAATGGGGTAAGAAGATATTTGGCGACGATTCGACAACAAAAAAAAAAACAAAACAATCTCGTTTTAATCTTTAACGACTCGATTTACAGCGAACGAATTAAACGCGTACAAAAATCAGCAAACAAACAAACGTAACAAACAAACGTAACAAAAAAAAAATAATAATAATAATAATATCAACTGTTTTAAAAAAACTTACCCCGATTTCGCGACGACGATGTTTTTTTTTTTTTTACACGTAAAACGATTAAAAACAAACAATAATAAAAAAAAAAAATTTATATATAAAAAATAAAAATAAATAAATCCGACTTATAATAATAATAATAATAATAGTCAAAGAGTGTCGTGCGTTCGTCTGTCCACTACTGTCTCCTTGTTCACATGCTCATCGTGACTGAACACATGAAGCGATTTGAATGAAACAACCATTCGCGTAGACTGAGCCTCCAAGACTGAAATTACATAAAGGAAAAAAAAAGAAAAATAATAATAATAATAAAGTAATGCCTCGTAAGTCGACGACGACCGAATGACATAACCAATTAACTCCACTTCGAGTAGTAGTAGTAGTACTACTACTACTATACTCCTACCACTCCTACCACTACCACTACTACTACCACCTAATAGTTAACAAACCGGATTGGTCAGTGATGATGATGATGATGATGATGATGATGATGATGACGATGGCCTCTCGGCATTTAATAAAAATAATTTCACTTTCCTCTCCCCTTCCCCTTTCCCCCTTCCTCCTCCTCCGCCCCTCTCACGCAGAAAATTTTTTTTCCCTCCTTACACACCAAAGTTGTATGAAAATAAAAAGAAAAAGGGGAGGGGGGAATTGATAAAACTTTAGGTTTTCCATGCATTTCACATTTACGACTATCATCATCATTATTATTATTATCGTTCTCGCGTCTCGCCCACCGACGATTCCTATCGAATTAACACAAATGGCAAAAACCATCTTGTTTTCTCTTTTTTTTGCACTTGTGTGTGATAAGGAAAAAACACGGAAATGTAATCGACAACATTGAATAACGCGATATATCTTCACTCGACCGGCATTTTTTTTCTCTCTCTCTGCCATTTGCCATAAATTAAAACTCGAACGTGTATGAGGAGACAAGACGATTTACGCACACGCACTCACGCACACGCACACTCCCTTTCTTACATTTTACCCGACAAACCCTTTTCGATAATGTTGATATTCACATTCGAATTTAACGAATTTTTTTTTTGAAAATTACTTTTCAGAGAACGACGTTGTCAATGACCCTCCTCTTCGTAATCGAACTCCATCACACGACCGCACATAATCATTATTACATTGTGAACTTGTGACTTTGAATTTTAATATTTAAAAAAAAAAGGGGGGGGAAGGGATCCCACTACGTTAAATAAAATTTTTTTTGTGTTTTTCTAATCACCATTATCATCATCATCGTTAGTTAACCTTTTACAATTTAATTACATCTCAGGAAAATTAATTAAAAAAAAAAAAATTTTTTTCGAGGTGCCAACAATAATCGATTTGTTTCCTTTGAGCAACATTATTATTATTATTATTAAACGTTTTTTGGACGTTCATTATCGTCTTTCGTTCGTTAGGTTTGGAAAATTTTTTTTTCACGTCATTCAGGTTTTGTATTTGAACATTTTTAATTAAAAGACCGTTAGTTAAACAACAATTTAAAAAAAAAAAAAAAAAAGTCGTCTCGAAAAAAATTTTTCGGTGTCATAATCGCCGACCCGACACAAAATTTTCCCCCCGGGGGAGAGGGGGAGGGAAGGGGAGGGGAAAAAGAGGAAAAACCGAAAGAATAATTTTACGAAATCGAAAACCCTTTGGGTTACCCCCCCAAACGAAAATTTACATTCTTCCGAATTGTTTATTTCATTTTATTATTATTATTATTATTATTAGCCAATTGTAATCCGCGGAAAATAATGAAGTAAAAACTAGTAAAGGAAAAGTCGCTAATTTCGCATTGCCTCCCTCCCTTCATGCCTGCCTGCCTGCCGGTGCAATGAGGAATAATCATCATTATGATGACCGTAAACTTCGTTTAAATACTCGTTGTGCCATCAACACGTACACGCACACACGCACACGCACGCACAATTTTTACCGAAAAAGAAAATAATAATAATAATAATAATAGTCTGCAATTAAAATTCACGGATGTAAATTGATTATTCCAATTTATTTAAATTGTTCCGTTAGTGAGTGTGCGTGTGCGTGCGTGCGTGCGTGCGTTCGTGTGTTCTTCTGCCATGACGCACGCGATGATTCGAACATCAGATTAAAAGAGATTAAAGGTTAATAAATGTAGTAACAGTGAAAGTAAAAAAATTTTTTTTTTTAAACATTTTCATCCCGTTTAATAATTATTCTATCGAAACCGTACAACTTCCCCCCTCCCCACCTTTCCCCCATTTCCAAACGCTACCACCATAATCAATCATTTACATTTAAATCGAACGAACGGACACTAAAAAAAACGAGTGGAAAAAAAAAAAAACATGAAAGGTACCCGGAAAACGATTTAAACTCCACACTTCGAACCAAAAAAAAAGGAAAAAAAAGGAAAAAAAGGAAATTTTCTCGTATTGAGATAACGCACCATGTAAAAATAACCTGGATATTATTAATTCTCGTGCTACTGGATAATAATTAACTTAATGGAAAAATCCGTTATCTATCATTAATAACAACAACAACAACAACGACTCTGATAACAAATCTCTAGTCAAAAAACAACAAAAAAAATATTATCGCTAATATTATTATTATTATTATTATTATTATTATTATCACCGATCGCGTTTTACCTGGATTTTATAAAAAAATTACATAATTCCTTCTCTCTCTCTCTCTCTCTCTCTCTTTTTTTTTTTATAATGTCAACAAAAACAAAATCGACAATTGTTCGTCCATCATTTTAAATTATTATTATTATTATTATTATTATTATTTATTTATTTATTTATTTATTTATTATTATTAAATATTTACGAGGAATGCATTGAAAAGAAAAACAAAAATTTATTAGGACTCGTCGTCAAATATCGTGACACTAATTCGCTAATTTTCAAATGCCTGATTCAAATTTTCAAATACGAAACATCAGTAATAATAATGATGATAATGATAATGATAATAATAATACTAATAATAATGATGATAATATATTCGCGTCAATGAAATCATTTTTCTTGAAATTAATAATACCGGATTTACTTTTCTTTTCTTTTTTTTTTTCGTTTTTGGTCACGAAATTAAATCT